AATGCTCGGATGGGGGCTTTGTTGTTTTGATGTGCAGTAGCCGCGCGAGCACTTTTGTGGTCCCACCAAATTATTGAGTTATACTGAAAAGTCTACGATGTTACACGAAGGTAAATAATCCAAGTCTCTATTCGACACATCGGAAAAAGGCCTTGGGCAAATAAACGAGAGGGGCCGATCATTCGCCCTATCCCGGATGGACGCAGCAAAATGCGCTGCGAAATTCGTGGTGATTTAAACGATTCGGTTGTTGCGCAGGTTCATTGGGGCTTAGATTTCAAATAAAGGAGGATCAGCTGGCTCTACTAAACTTTTACCTCGAATTTGTGCCCCAGTGATAGGTGAACGTTAGAGTCGTCAAATCGCCAGGAGCTCCCCGCTTGCAGCTACAAATGGGCGAATGTTCTGTCCCCAAGTAGATGCAAGAAACACTGCATTCCTCAAACTTTTTCTCCTCTTCATTTTGCTGTTCCGATGCACATTATTTTTCCTGCTCATTACATTCATTGTTTTCCAGAGTGCAGTGCCCTCGAGCCGGTCTCACCTTTCAACTATGGTCAACTTGTTGAACAATGTCGAGGAGAAAGGCTCATCAAAGCACGACCCTACAGTCACTTCATATTGCACCTGCGTTATATGACTTATGAGCAGTTCAGAGCCCTTTTTTCTGAGGCCACTCACATTCAGTTGGGCTTCAGAATAATTCGTGTGCCTTGGACTACGATAGAATTCCCGAAACTCGTCCGATTAATCCCAATATTTTCAGGTATTAATTTTCATTACTAAGATATAGTGATAGTACTGTAGCTGAGTTCTTTGGCGATGAAACGTCAAAGCATAGTTCACTTTAACATTACATTTTATCTCCACGATTTCCTTCTCTTCTTCGTTGAGTCCAGTATTTCTAGGGAGAACCCTTGGGTCGCACCTAGCATCCAAGAGATGGGTGTGATTGCACATGTTTAAGCTAACTGCTTTCCAGGAAGAAGCGAAAAACAAAATGTGATTTTTGTAATTTCAGGGGTACGCACTATTGTCGCCAGAAATAATCCGTATCTGAAGATAATATCCTTCCCTCTACCATTCTGAAGGTTTTGGTGCACTCAACTATATGGAAAATGTTGAATTGTAAGGAATCGTAGGCTTAAATATGAAATCATCTCTTCGGTGGAGCCACGCTGTAGATTCTGCTATCTTCAACCGTATGACGGTGAATTTTTTTACCTTTTTTATTTCTCATTTCTGTCATGTACCGCTTTATATAGAGAATAGGCTGATTCCACCACATCTACAGGGAGAAATTGGGACTACCCAACTTATTCCAGGCGATTTAAGGAGACTAGAAGAAGGGGCAGCGTTGACTTCCAATTGAGAGTGTACGATGTTCAGCGACTTCTCTATAGGGGATTTAAGGACTTTCATATCGTCCATCGCGGATGTAGGTGGCGAATAAGGTTTTGCGTTTCTAAATCGGTACGATTTGGTAGAATCATACCATATTGGAGCTGTAGAATATGTCGCGAAATCATTTCTAGCAAACACTTTCTTGAAGCATCCCAAAAACACAATTTTCCTACTTACATGTAAAATACACCTAGTACACAGTTAGTGATGTTTATCAGACCCGATAAGATTGCTAAGTATGATAGCTTCCATGCTGGAATCATACTTTTCAGCAGGCGCCGACCATTCCTAGAACAAAACAGGCCCTCGAGAGTCTGTTTCGAGCAGTGAGCTCTATGTAATAAAAGTGGAATCCTTTTCGCCACTAACGTACTACCTGGTGTTTTCAATTTTCCAATCGAAGCTTTTAAGCCGCTGATGTATGAATTATTTTAGTGCCATCACAGAGTTATTGAGAAGAAAGGTGATATACCATTTTTCCAATTCGCTATACTATATCATGCACGGGCGGAGGTGGTGTAGTGACAAGGGGTGCAATTCACACACGCATGGTCGCGGGTTCGAATCCCAGATCAATAACCGCCTAGGCAAGCCAAGCCTTCCATCCCTCCGGGTCGGTTAATCGGTACCAGATTCGTCTAGGAGGATAAAAGCACTGCCTTGTACATCAGCTAGCCTCTACAAGTCATTGTATAGACCACATACGCATTCAATACGCCACTGGCTGCTTTCATAGTCCACGATTGGGCGAGCGACCAGTCGCGCGTCTGGTCGCGTGGGCGCATTCCTCAGAAGGGATTGATTAACGCTCCAAACTTTATCTTTTTTCAATATCAGGGCTGTGGCCTGTCTAAACTTCCCTATTTTTCGTACTTCTCCCTCCTTTCCACTAGCTTCAATCCAATCGTAGTAAACACCAGTAAGAACAGAAGGAATGCAGCTCTTACTTTATCAAGCATCAGATAAACTTCTTACTTTCAATAATAAGAAAAGAAATAAGGCGATTTGATTACTAGTTTCGACACTTTGTAGCTTGCGCCTCTCTTGAAGTCCAGCAAACCACGAACGTTGTTGAATTTGCTCAAATGTGTTCCGGCAAGAGAGTGTGGAAGACACAGGGAACAGCGGTGATCGAAATCGACATCTCATCATTGGAGCAGGAAATCATCGACCAGCTTTTCCGCAGTGTAACCTACATAAAAATGTGCATCATCCTTCGGCAATCACAAATTCAGTACCTACGTATGCCAAACCTGGTTCAATTGCACTCGTGCGAACCAGGTAGGTAGCAGGACTTCCTGTACCGTTTATATCTCATATTGCTGTGGTGGTTCTAGGACGATCAGCATTCACCATAGAAGGAAATATGCAGCTTGAAGTAATTGAGCTGTCACCAGTGTTTGAATGGCAAATCAGTTATGAGCCCTTCACGATCATATACAATCCAGCGTTACGACAATATCCTCCGTTGCAACAATGCAAGTACTGCGCGTTCGAGCACAATACAAGTGAGTCTTTTTCCATAAATGTCAGAGCCTCTTTAAACTAGTAGTAGGCTTTTCTAGAAACCTTGAAACTGAAGTCATTATGCTGATCTGTTCAGGATGTGGAGTGACTTGGCCGGCCCTGGCGTACACTACGCTTGAAGAGATATTGCAGAATTGTATGGGAAAACCAAGGATTGTGTTCACCGAAGTGGTCACCGTCACTCAAGAGCAGTTCACAGAACTCTGTTCAGCCCTATATCTGCAAATGTGTTTCAATATTACTAATACCGACTACACGTCTATTAGCTGCCCCATGTTACGAGCAGTGGCACCATGCCAACCAGGTATGTGACTGCCTCTTGTCATAGAACTTGTTTGCGAGTAAGCGCCAGCGAAGGATGAACAGATGAGATCAAAAGTAAATTTTCGATGTCATCATTAGCTAATCAGATATGATGGAGCACCCTGATTTACAACTTTCAGGACAACAAGTTTGGACGATCATTGGCAACTCGCAGCTCGAATCAGTAGTTATTAACACCCTAGTCAAGTTCTCTGTGGAAGAAAAGATCATGATTGTGAGAGAGAACCCCTTGATTCCTAATAATGAACTTATCATTCTGAAAGAGATATGCAAGGACTGCGTAATAGAATACGAATCAAGTACGTTTGCAGCAGATATATTAGTCACTCAATTTTTTAGAAAAGAGTATTTCAGTGTGCCGCGA